ATTCAAAGGAGAAGAAAGGGAAGATTCACACAGAAGACTTCAAGAACTGTGAGGAACATAAATCTCTAATAATGATGCCTAGCTTACAACTAACAAATAGAATCAGTAACCTGGAAAAGGCATTTAATATTTATATTGTACTTGAATTTCAGCAGCTCCAAGCCAAATACTTATGCTGAACAGAGAGGAGTGAATCAGCTTTTCTCTTTGCTTCTGTAGTCACAAAACCATTCTAAAGATGCACTTTAAGTGAAGGAGAAAGCAATTATTTAAATAGCAAATGTCTGCAGGTATTCTGGACTGAGTAAGCTGTTAAAAGTAATTGAAAAGACTCGGTTGGATCATTACTAAACCAAAGCAGCATAACATTCTCCTCTTACATGCATGTATTAGACAGCAATAGTACATTACAAAATAATTGAAACTTCCAAATACCTAACTTCACCCTCTCAAAATATTGCATGTATGTCTTTAACAAGTTCAGAATACTCTGAGTTTAGAAAGAAGAAATAATTGTCACAGATTGTGGTGAGGGGAAAAATAGTTTTCTCCCTAAAGTTATAAAATGGTAAACCCCCAGGGGGTGGTTACCCTTGGGGTTGAACCAAGAGTGCTTCTGCAAAATACAAACATATCACCAGACCGGAAAAGAAGGGTAGTTGTAGTTGTTGTTGGAGAGGTGGCCATGTTCTGAGGCCACGAGAAGGGGCCCCCAGCCCCACTGGGGGCTGAGCACCCCCAGCCCCCAGCTGGGGGGCTACGGGGACTTGGAACAGTGTTAGACTGGACTAAGTATCTGTAGCTGAGAAGCTGGAAGTTTTTCTCCTCCACCAGAGCAGCGGCAGAGGCAGCAGCATACAGAGGACAGTGGCAGAGAGCCAAGAGATAAAGAGAGAAGCAGCAGAGACAGCATGCAGCCAAGGAAGACACAGAGCTGTCTGAGAGAGAGAGCCAGCAGCAGAGAGAGAACTAAACTCTACAGAGAGAGAGAGAGAGTTTGGGTAAGAACTGAAACAAACTCCCCAAACCCCTCTGAGACCTCCTAGAGAGGAGGAGGATGATGGACTCTTACTTGAGAAGAGTCTTAGAGTGCTACAGCACCGAAAAGAAAGGAGCGGAGAAGCTCAAGGCATCCCGGAGCTGGACCGGGACGACCAAAGGAATGCAGAGGAGGGCTTCCCCCCCCCCCCCCGCTGCCTTGAGACAGAGCACAGAAGCTCTGTAAGAGAATTTGAATCCCCTGAGGATAAGGACCGTCACAAAGGCTCCTGTATATTCGTTGATATGACGTGGTGAAGCAACCTTTGTCCTGGTAAACCCAGCCCACGGAAGAGAAGACCCTCGCTTGGAGTCAAAGGGCCAAGAGGGGCTTGGATAACCCCCTCGTGTGTACTGGCAGAGATCCAGCTACAGCTGCTGCATGAAAGAAGAGAGCCTGCTGCCCTAGAGACACTGCTGCTCTGAAAGTAGAAAGGATCTCTTCCTTCTTCCCTCCTCGACTTTTATGTGGAGAGAGAAGAGATTTGATCCATTGTAAATACTGTTTTATCATGGTAGAGATAGTTGAGATTGTGTGTGTAATGTGTTATAATATTCATTTGTACAGAGTACAGTCATTGTAATATAATCCTTTCCCCCCATTTTGAGTCTTGTGTGTTGTCTGGAAAACCCATCTCACACTGGGCTGAGATGTGAGAGGGGGGCTTGGACTCGAGAATTAGATTTTGGGGCTCTCAAACCATGACACAGATGAAAGCTGTCAGAAAAATTCAGTCTTCACACTTCAATTAACTTTACAATAAAAACTCAGTTTCTTAAAATTTCATCCATAAACCAAGAAGACATTTACTGTGGAAAAACAGATTACGTTGATGTTAATGAAAGCCATCCCATCTGAGCCATCACTTCATTTCTGTATATCTGACTCTTAATAAACCTTTTTAACTAATTTTGTAAATATGTAGGACTTGCTTTTGCTTTCATTTGGCTTGAAATAAATCAAGTAACTTCCTAACACAGGATAGAACTGTTCTAGAAGTCTGGTTATTGTAAAAAATCCAGATACTGAGACATCGACATTCTTCAGCAGCACAGATCATTGACCCTGAGTATCCAGAGGAAAGCAAGGAATCTTATTTTCAGGGGCAGTTTAGGACCACTTAATTGCAGGAAACTGTGTAGCAAATGCACCTTCTAGTGAAAACCAGTAACCAGAAAGTCTCTCCATCACAAACCAGGGCAGATGGGTCACACTTTGGTGCCTGCAGATCTGGGGAGTTCAGCACATCATGTAACTGTGCTATTGGTACTGGAGGTGTGCAGACCAGACTACAAGTATGATACCTTCTAAATAAAACCCCAACCCCACCAATTCACCATCCTTGAAATGGGTTGAGTCCCCAACCTTTACAGCAGTGAAATGGCAGAGTGTTTTTGTCCATTTTACTGTAACATACAATTTTGTGCTGAAATTCCACTACTCAAACAATCACAGAAATTAGCACTCATCTCATAGATCAGTCAGCATTTGCAATCAGTACTCATATCTATGTATATATGTATACTCATATGTATATATTTGTGACTATAGATATTGGTTTCAGTAACTTATTCAGGGTTTGAAAGGAAGAAGGAAGAAGGATTGATTTACAAAGGAGCATGAAGAGATGGTTCAGAGCAGAAACAACAACAACAAAAAAATTTAGAGATTTTTCAAAGCAACTATAAAAGCCCCTACTCAATATCATGCAAGGCATGATCCCAGCACAATTTAACAAACACAAGATCAGTATCCACTGTTGTTTTTCCTTGTCCTGTTTGGCTGCCTGGGAACAAGATCAGACAGGTGATATGTGCACAATTGTTCTGTTCACAATGCAGCTCCACAGCTGCTCCCACTAAAAAACAGAGATGGCTTAATGGAAATGTGAGCTTTTTACCTCACTCTTAATAAAGAGAAGGAACATGAAACCTACATAATGTTATACAGAAAGGGGTATAATCTTAACTCTGGTTCTCTAGATTTTCTCTCCCTCTGGCTCCCCAAACAATGAACACAATTGAGCTTTTGGTACTAAACATCTGTTCCCCTAAAATCACATTGCAGTTGTTAATTGCAATTAAAGAGGGTGAGCCGTATCACTCTCAGCTGTTTACCTTATGAGCTGTAACTTTCTTTCGTATGGGCTTCGTAGAATGCTGTACTTAAATTTACAGACAGCTATAGAGAGCTCACTAAGACAAACAGAAAGCAAATCTAGAATTAAAACTGAAAAAAGATGCAAGAAACTTTCTGAAAAAGTTATTTCCTAACTACTCTTAGATGAAAACTTCTAAACGTAATTAAAACTGAACTCAGGCGATGTTCATGGGAACTCCTGTGTTTAAATCCATTCTCTTCTAGCATAAGCAGATATGGCAATTCCCTTTATAAATGACTGAGTTACACTGTAAAAGACGTTACATTTTCTGTTTGTATTCTAATTGCTGTATTGGTTAGAAACCTTATCCTGATTTTCAGCATATGTCACTTTTACTCACTTCATATGTTGACAATGTCCTCAAAGGTAAATAGTTGTTTTCTCTCTCATTAAAGTTTAAGTTACTGACATATTTACAGGAAGCAACCATATGCTCCCTCAATCTTTATTTTTATGGAATTAGCCAGTCAGCTTTTCCTGCATGACAGGTTCATGTTTCTGCATCTGTCATATTTTGAGGAATGTCCTTCTGAGAAGTTACCTTCTCGTAACACATTTCACTGAGACTGCACGACAGAACACAGCCCTGAATTTAGCATCCTGAGCAGCACTTTATTATTAGGTTTTGACCAGCTGTGTCAAGTTATGCTTCTTTTCCACTTAGTAAATTCCTGCTACCCAGTAGGTTCTTGCTCTGTCTCCTTTATCATCCTCATTAAAACCTGAAGCTGAGTTCTTCCTTAATTTTGGGCCCATAAAAAAACCACTTTAACTTCTACCTGATCCTATTACTCGGTGGTAGCTTTTTTCTTTTTCTTAACAAAGCTAAAGAACATTTAGGTATTTATTGCATACCTCTTACAAGATTTCTACCTATTCTGAAATTTAAACTGTATCTTCAAATATCAATATAACTTAGCTTTTTCAGGCCCCACCCTATAAACTACCTCCCTAAGATCCTTCTCACATTGAATTTCTCTACTTTACTCCAGTATTTTCTGTTAATTTTATTAAAATACATACTTTGAATTGAGAGTCCCAGATGCAGAATAGTTCTGTTCATCACTAAATTAAACCTAGAATGAATCAGTATCTGCTTCTTAGGCTGGGGTTCCTTTTTCTGACCAGTTCTTTCACTGAATCCTTACTAATTTTCAAAACAACACCATGTTTGGTGTCAACAAAGCAAAACAATGATGTGGGCAGTTACACTGAACTTTAATGCACACTTACAGTATTCTTAATATTTGCTCTCAATTTTTTATCTGGGTAGGTGTAACACAAAATGCAAGATTTAAACTTCTTATAATATTGCAAAGCAGTCTATAAGCATGTTTCCAGCATTATCCAGAAATAACACTTACTATCCTCTCCCAAAGTAATGTCCTTTTGTAATCTACTTCTGAGTTAGCAGTACAGCATGAAATAGCTCATCATTCTGCAGTGATTTGTTTCTTTAGTCTACCACAACATGAATAAACACCACCACCTCTGATCCTACCTTCCTTGAACAGCAACATGACAGATCCCTGTTCTTGCCCCTTCCAGCATCAGTCCTAACCCATTCTAACTTCTGTTTCTTAAATAATCTCTAACAAGAGAGTTACCCACACAAATGCAGATATTGTGTGTAAAATGGTTCACGCATAGAAGCACTACATTCTGCTGGATAAAGGTACTTTTTTTGCATGTAAAAGTGGATGAACACAGAGAACACCAACTGCTACTTCTTCCATCAGACACTTCTGCCTTGCTGAGTTAAAACTGCAATACACTGTTATCCTCTCCTTTGGGCCTCACCTTTAGGGTCAGCCTTACTGCGTTACACTCCTGCAGAGGGTTCAGCTTCAGGGTTTCTCCCAAGTTACTGCACCCTGATGTTTGGTGCTGCATTTCACAGCAAACACAGACACCGTCACTGTCGAATTTAATCTGTGGAGAAAAAAAAAAAGGTCAGAAAAAGTATAAATCAAGGGAAACACACGTCCCAAATCGTGTATTTACATTTACAGTGACAGTGATGACTAATAAATGCAAAATAAAAATATCTATGCAGAAATCTTGGAGCAGAATATTTTCCGTTAGTTAATATAAGGTATAAAACAAGGTAAAATACAGAAAGAGGACACAATAGCAAAGAGTGCTACCTTGCATGACTCATTTTGAAAAAAATTTGCTTTCCAACGGCAGTTGAAACCAGAGTAACTCAACTGAATAAACATAAAATCATACCCAATGGGGAAAACCAAAAAATAACAGAAAGAGGTCAGAAAACATATGAAGGAGTCACTAATCAGTTCTTTATTTCTCAAAGTAAAGACAGAAGCACAGTGGCTGGGTGGTAGGAGATCTGAATCACTCTTTTACATTAAAAAAATTTAAGATTTACAGATACAAATCCACAAAAAAATTTCATAATGCAAATACGTGTTTACTATTTTAAATTCAAATTCTCCCTAGGATGTTGCCATTTTCCTGAACAAAGACGGGTAGCAGCATTCCTTGTAGAATTACCTTGCATAGCCAGATACCTACAATCATTTCAACAGAGTATTTACTTACTGCTTAAGCAGAGCAGTAAGTACTTACTGTTTAAGACCTCTATAAATGTTTAAATTGTTCCTATGATCTTAAAAGTTATGTATTTAATTATATGTAGTTTTAATGCCACCCCTATCAGGCTTATCTAATACTCTCTCCTTACATGCTGGTCACCAGGACACATGGAAGAGCAAAAATAAGAGTCAATTGAAAAACACAATAAAGTTTTGCAGATGAGGTGCAGATGACCGTTTGCCATGTACTAGGAGGAAGGCATGCTCACAGCAGGATGCTGTCTCAGAGGACTTCAATGCCTGAGACTCCAGATTGCCCTCTACCCAGTACAATTTGTAAAAGGCTTTTAAAAAAACCTAGGTATGTAGATGACACCATTTCCCATATTCTCAAAGGCAGCACTGGAAATCATTGTCTATGGCAGCTCACAGAAACCGGTCATACCCTATGCCACAGACACTGCAAAAGAAATAAAGAAAAAATACACTGTGCACCTCTATGATAGTTGTGGGGTTTATTTCCAATTAACATACAATTTAATTCACAAAGCTGCTTTAACAATTTCAGACTGGGGTTTTATCTTCAACTCCTGTAATCTTTTAATACTTTCTTTTAAAAAGTGAGGCATCTGGAGAAAACCCAAGTACATGGTTTACGATCACATGACCTCAGCTCCTCAAGTCAAACCAGTAAATGTCAGTGGGGAGGTCTTGCTCCCAAACCTCTCCTGAAATGGTTCTGCTGTCAGATAAATGCTACTGATGAAGTTTGACACTTAGATTTTGAGTTTACAGCCAGGCCACATTCAGGGGCCAGAAGGCTACACCACACACAGAGCAAATCAATACAGGCTTCAGCTGCAAAAAAGTTTTTATAATGAGGAATATGGGCAAAGTTTTCTATTGCAAGATCATCTATTCTGATTCATGCTGTCCCTGCTCAATGAAGGACAGTCACTGACTCATGGTGGTATGTACTTGACACTTCTAATATGAAATACAGATCTTAGGTCTACTTTTATCACACGTAATGAACAGGTGTCACAGAAATAAGGCTAAAAAGGCTCAGTCAAGATTCCCCATTTATGAGACATTCTCAATTCATTCAGAAAGCTGTGCCATAACTTTGCACTGCCCAGTAACTCTCCTTTTAATTTAATTCTTAAAATTACTTAAAAGCTAATTGTTTAAGTGAAAGTTCCTGCAAAACACAGGGACAATCTTAAGAATCACAGCATATTCAAAACCACTTAAGATTCACAACCAGACTGGAAGCATACTATTTTTGGAGGTTTTAACTTGCCCTATCACGCACTTTTTCCTTCCAATGTTCCTGAAGTGACATCTTTGTGAGTTGTGTTTTTATAACGGGGAGCAGGACAAGAGGCTGAACGTGTCATTGCATATGTGACCTCAACAACACAGCCCCTGAGAGCACTTCTGAGCCCCCGTGCTCCACGATGCTCATCCCTGCTCCATGATGCTCATCCCTGCCCCACTGCTGTCTCACACTTGCACAGGTAGGATCAAGAGTTCATACAGCTATTCTGTGCCCTAAACAGGGTCAAAATTAATATGGGGTTGTTTGTTTTTTTTTTCTTCTAGGGAGGAGGGGGAAGAAGTAATTTATTTTTAGTCCAGATCAGACCTCAAATGCCATTCACTATGTGGCTTCATAAACAGAGACAGCAGCACTAACAGTAAAGCTGCACTGGAACAAGGGAGGAGTCGGGAATACTTGTTCCAGCTGCTGGGCTGGTGTTTGCCAACCTCAGACACAATTACATCAGCAGTGCCTCCAAAGCTGTCTGTGTTTAAATCTCTATTTGGTTGGCAGGGCTCAAGAATAAAGCATGATTCACTTCATCCCCTGCCCAAACCCCTATCATCCTGCGTATATTTGAGTTCCACACTGTGAGTCTTATTCATGCTAGTGAGCACAGTCAATAATCATAGTAGAGTTTGGGTACTTTCATATTTATGACAGTTGCAAAGTACACTCTCATCCAACCCATGGTTAAGATTTCAAACATCAGCCTGAGCTACCTATATGCATAAACTGTCTTTTAAGTTTATTCTGTCTTGCCAAAAAACAGTACTGTTACTTCTAAAGCGATAAAACTCATTACAATCTGACTTCTATGTAGCAGAGGATCAAAAAAACGAAAGGACGCTCTAGATTCATTACAAATACGTACACACACATTCATCAAATTCTGTCAAGGTATTAGAGGTGCCTTACAAAGAAGAAATGACTCTGAGTGTGCACACACTTCACCAACAGGTTAAGGTAGGGAGCAATTAAGAGTGTTATGTCACATTCTACCATTTCCCTATTAAGTCAAGTCTTCTAGTAAAGGTAGTAATAGATTTTACTTTTTCTTAGTTTAGGGCTTTTTATAGGGAACATAAAAGGAAGGAAAATTTCAAAATAAAATATAAAAATTCCAAAGTTGATAACAAGGCAGTGAAGTACAAGAAAGCCTCACTGGTGGGCTTATGGGAAGGAACTTCAGTGAATTAGAGTAACTTATGCAAAGAGAAAGAATTGGAAAATCCAGTAAGGAATAAAGTTGCATGGTAGGGAAATATCAAGATTAAAAACTGACATACAAATAAGAACAAAAAAAGTATATTTTTTTCCTGGAATTCTAAAAATTGGTTTTCAATATGCACAGACCTGAATGCAGGTACAACACAAAATGGAACACAAAGAAATCTCTGCACCTGGGCAGTGCCATTCACCTCTACGCAAACTTGCCTTTGGTCTGCTTTTCCTTGCTTTGTCTATTCCAGTTACAGATAATTGAGGGAAAAAAGAGTCTTCCTTTATATGTTACTATAACCACTGGCCAATTTCAGCTGTACAAACAAAAAAAAATTATAAGCAAACTTTTTATACAGAGCTTAACTCTATCACTACTTTTCTGAGTAATAACCAGCTGCATATTTGATTAAAACTACAGCTTTTTTTTTAAACAAATAAGTGACTTACAAGACGAAGAAATAAAACATATTCTATCTTGTGCAGTAATAGAATATAAATTAAAATATATTAATTGCTCTAGCCATATATGTTAAGCACAAATTTTAGAGATCAATTATTTGAAAAAGAAATTCCCACACAGGAGTGTTTCTGATACACACAGTAATGAACAGTTTGAGTGTATAACTGCTCTGTACACATCCTACTATCAGGGACTTAAATCAGTATCTTGAGGTTATGGCTGCAGGATATGCAGCTAATCACAGGGAAAAAATTCCAATTAATTTCTCTTAATAAGCCATTAAAGCTACTGGCATTTTTTTGTTCCTCAGTGTTGTATGTTGCTAAGCTGCAGGATAAAGAGCACAAACACTAACTTCACAAATTACACATTCAAAATGCTAACATATGGTGAACACATTTCTCATATTCACACAAAAATATACATTATGGAATGTACAATAAATCCCCAGTGTTTAAAGCAAAATAAGACCATTGTGCCCTGTTCTTTTTCTTCAAATAACTACTCTATGTGTGAAATGCTGCTGAATTTAAACTCCACAATACAGTAGGTACTATTATCATTTTTAAAGCCACACATCAACATGAATGAGTTTGACAGAAATACCACAACTAAAACAGAATTTACTTTGAATTTGACTGTTTCACTATACTGTGCTTGGAAATTTACTGTTGCAGTTATATGGGATGTTGACTACATCTCAAAGCACATGTCTGCAAAAGCTGAGTTTTCACTCCTAGAGCTGCACCACCGTACAGTACATTTGTATCCTAGAAGGCAACCAGAGGATTTAGATTTGATAATGTACATCCAGTCACACAGTGAGGGAATGCACAGACCTACAACACTAAAGTAAGCCAGCTAAGGCATTAAAATTAAATATACACTTAGAACAAGTTGTTAAGAAACTGGGATTTTTAAAGTGATAAAAGGTAATAAAGCAATGAGATATGTTCGACATAACATATCACCAACTTCTGAGTCACACCCTGCACCTGCTCATAAAGCAGTGCTGCTCACTGCAGAGCATCCCTCTCAGCAGGTGGGCTATGAGAACAGAACTCTACAATTTCATATATATGAGCATTTCAACATGGCAATATTTACATGCAAGTCCCCAAAGTGACTGAAATGTGATTTTAAGAAAGGAAAACCTAAAAATAAGGAAAACCTAAAAATAAGGTCTGGGCAGAAGAAACTGTATTTTTTTTTGATACAGTTATGATAAACAGTCACAATGAAATTAAATTGCCCTTACATAGTATAACACACTGTGGCAAAGCCAGTTAGCATCTCAGCATGCTCTGAAAATTGAAACTACAGTTTGAACCCTTGTTTTATCTTCTTTAGCCAGATCAATGTTTCAGTAGTCCAGAGGAAAATCTGCACATTCCATCTGCAGTAGGAAGGGAAAGGCCAGGGAAATACAAATGAAATGCAACTGTTTCCTTTTAATTTATGAGCCAAGTACACCGGCTTTGAGCTATTGAGCAAGGAAGAAGTAAATACATGTTTCCGAAATCCCAGCGTTTCTTCCTGTTTCTCTTTAGGGCTTTGATACAATCCTACATGAGAGATGTGGCAAGAGGCACTGCTTAAGCACGTGGAAAACCAACCAGCAGAGCATGATGTCTAGACACAAGACTAAGCTATTCATCACAGTGACACTCCAGGTCAAAATACCGCGTTTGAAAATTATAGCATGTAGGTCCCAAAATACAGTTACATAGCTGCATTACGTAGTCAGGAAAGCATTCATTTTAAGAGGCTATTTATTCCTTCTTCCACACAGATACAAGGCTTTTTTGGTAAGTCTTCATAGGAAGTTCTGATACAAATGTAGCCCCTCAAAGTACTTCTAAATAGTCCTAATATCAAAGCAAGGATCTCAATACAAATTTGTAAAACTCACTTCAAAGGTTTTCCACAAAAAAATACCTATGACAACTCTTTTTTAATGAAAAAAAAAGACACCAAAAAACCCCAACAAACCCCTGAAAATAAAAACTATTTTTCCATCACTCTGCAATGCGCAGCACACATCTTACAGCAGAGCTCCAGGTTCCACCAGTTGATTTCTCCATAGGCTATAAAGCCTTTACTCCAACCACAGCTGGAAAACTCAGACATTGTGCAAATGTCTGCAGAACATTCTTAGCAGAATTCTTAGAACAATTCCCAGCAGAGCAGCCAAGCTCCTCCGGCCCGCCTGGCTCAGGGAGCTGCACATGCAGCCCTAACACAGGAGGAGCCACAGCAACACGGACCACGAGCTTCCAAGCTGACTAAAGAAGGGGAAGGCATGGGACAGGTTACACCCAAATGGTGTTCTGTGTCACGTGCCTTTTGAAATATTTCCTAAAACATTTTGTATTATTTGAACTCAGTTTTACTAAACATATTGTGTCCAAACAGAACAAAGGAATCAAACAATGACTCAAGAGGTGCACGAGCATTTCATGGAGTCATCTGTTGGCATTAAATGGAAAATGTCTTTTTCCTTTAACATTTAGATCAACGTCTTGGGGTGCATATGTGTATGTCTTTCTAATTTTTAATGAGTCCTGTGAGTGCATACTCACACGATTTAAACAGATTGATTGGTCTGCTAACAGATTATAATAAAAATAGCACTGGTGCACATTTATAAACATTCTCCAATCCATTTATCAATCTTATAATTCAACATCATTTGTTTCCTGAAGTTGGAGGGGTGTATAATTGTTTTATTATTTACTTTACATCAAGGATTTCAGTAATGAGTTTACTTCTGTAGACATCTTTGTAAGTTTGAATGATAAAATACGTTGGAGTTCAAAATATATGTACTTTTTTTCCTGAGATCAAAACATAAAGGCTCTAGGTAAACTGTAACTTTTAGTAACTTAGACCATAGCATGCCACATCATGATAATTTGTATTATTATGTATTTTATTTAATAAAAATATCATACATTTACTTTGGAAATTGAAAAAAAAAGATTAATTTAGGTTGGCAAATAAAATATTAGCATACACACATCAGACCATTACTATTAGTGCATCTGTGAAATACAGTGCCTCTACAAGGAGCTACTGGATGAAATCCTGATACTGCTGACACCAAATGGTAATCACTGCATTGCTCTGATGTGCCCTGTATTCCACCTATTTGCTGAAGCACTATTGTTACCGTGACATTAAGAAGCAAGCATTTCTAATACTAAAACTTATTTTTTGAGGTGACAAAGCACTTCAACCCTCAAGCTTTTCTCAAAATGATTTTTCCTGTTGTAATACCTGTAGATTGCTCTACTAAATGTTCAGGAAGTCAAAGGAATATGTGCATAAAACCCTAACAAATGCAAAATAAAATCCTTGCCCTTTGTAAGAGACTTGTTTTTCATTACTCACCAGCTGACAGCCTTCCAGGGACTTCACCAGCTGAGCGTTCTGGCAGGAGAGGATGGAGCCGGCCAAGTTCAGCATGACACACACTGCAGACAGCAGCATGAAAAAGGTGATCTGGGAAAAAACCAAGCAGTCCATTATTATTCACTGCAAGAGGCAAATAAGGAAAAATATAATTTAGATGTTCAAGAACTTCCAGCCTGTCATACAATTACATGGATGGCAACATGTTATATAATTTAGAGTAGGGTATTTAATCTCACAACATCTTCAGTCTCGCTCTATAGGAGAAAACTAAATCAAAACTAAGCTTGACTATCATATGCTTTTCTTCCAGCCATTTCAAAGTAATCCACTTATCTCCCACTTTTATAACACACTCTGAAAATTTAATGGGTTTTATTAATGAGCATTGCTAAAATATAGGAATTGAAAAAGTTGTTTGTTTTTTTTTTAAACAGAAGTAACCTTGAAACAATTTAAATCCCTTTTGATGAGGATATGGGTATCCTAGACAGAAAAAGTATTTGTCAATATCACATATCATGAGTTCCAACAAGTTAGGGGAAAAAGGTGAATAAAATTCTGGATACATATAATTACTTGGTATTTAAACAACAATTACAATTTATGCAGCATCTTCCATATTAAATGATCACCATAACTGGTCTACTCTGGCCTCCAATCGGGAGGCCTGGAGACACACCATCTATAACGCTGCTGTTTCCTTTGAGAACGCACCCAGGATCACTCTTGAGGGGAAAAGACAATGCAGAAAGAATTGTGCCCTGCAGAATTTACCACCTAAGGAGTCTTTCTGCTGTGCCTTTTGCAACCGGACGTGCCTGTCTCATATTGGCCTTTTTAGCCACCAGTGCGCTTGCAACCAACTAGAGCCCTTCCCAAATCTTCGTTCGTGAAGCCCGGCCATGATGATGACAATTTACGCAGCATCTTCCATATTAATTACCCATTGTGTTAATTACTCCTTTTGCCTCACTTCAAAATATGTCAAAACATGTCAAAACAATAATTAAGTCAATTCCATCAGCTTAATTACAATTTTATTGCTTTAAATATAAAAAACCTGGCCCAGTGCAGGCAAACAGAAATCTATGTAGGGAATGGGAATGGCACAAGCAATAAGAGGCCAAGAATAAACATGTGCCCAGTGTGTGGCCACCTTAAATATTCAGTGTTGACACTGCCATAACTCAGTGGGAGCAGGAGTGTATTATCTGAAATTAGTAAGAAAATCTGTTGCATCTTTTTCCATATGCATGGCCAGAGTCTACAACCCTTCACTGTTCTCACAAGATGTTATCTTGTGTCAATGCATGTGCTATGCGTATTTTTTGCAACCTTGCATCCAAAATGGTTGTTGGGGGTTTTTTTAGCGTTTTCAGGCAAAAAACCCCACCCTGTAATCTCCACAGTATTAACCAAAGGACAAGAATTTGTTTTAAAAAATTTAAGTTGCCAGCTTCAGATTCTTTCAAGCATCACATCTGACAACAAGGGCTGCAACCTACATCAGGTTTATTTATCTGCAGTACTTTCTCCATATCAGCATTCATTAATGAAGAAACCTCTGCTGGAGTTTCCAAGGTAACCTCTTCTGCTTGCCACTGGCAAAGACAGGAGAGAAGAACCCAGCACTGCCAAAATCACGTAACAGGCTCTTACAACTCCTGCTCTTCTCAGTGGGTCTAAGTATTATGTTCTCTATAGAAGTTGCATTTCAAGGTGGCAGCCACCACATGGTCCCATATCAAACAAACACTGAAGTTCTCTCTCACACTTGTCTTCCCAATTTGATTGGTTTACGCTTCACTTCTCAATGTCCCAGGCAAGGAACTTCCTAAGCTGGGCATGGAGTTAGAAGGGAAAACTCAGTTCCTTTGCAAGTCTTTTGTAACTGCCTTGCCTTTTGCAGAGCACAAAGATCCTAATAAAAGTAACTGAAGTATTTCCAATCTCCTTCCTTAATGCTTCTCAGCTAAATACCAAAAAAAGCCTTCTACTGATGGCCTAGGGCAGACTTGTACCACTGTTATCACAACTTGAGACATTACCACCACGTTGGAAGCCACAACAGAGAAAAGGAGGCATAAAAGTATCAATTACCACATTAACAAGCATTAAACAATATCTTCAGTGTGCTTGATGTTTTTATCACAAATCAATCTTTTCTAACACTGGCACATGTACACAGTAAAAACAAATGTATCTGCAACCCTTTCAAAGAGTGGTCATTGTGGATTGTGACACTATGAAATGCCATAGATGAAGTTAGATATACATTATTCATGAAGTCAATTTATCTAAGTTCCACATTAAAATTTTCCTCAGAAAGTAAGCTACAAAATGTTTGCTCTGAGAGCTCGGTGCGACATCCTGGCAGGAGCAGCATGGAATTATTAGGAAAGAGTGTGTGATGCAGTTAACCCAGTGATCAAGGGAAAAAAATTACACTGAAGAAAACACAGTGTGTCAGATACTGAAGGGCTATGACATCTTAATGCTGTTTTAACACTACAATATGTTTTCCACCTTTCTAGTTAAACACATAAACAAGTTAAAATATTCCTAGAATTCAGGAAGATGCATCAATATCACTAAGCTCCCAAAGCCACCAAGAATTACTACATGAACAAAAAGTGAAACCAATTGACTTATTATGACATAGTCTTAGCAGAACTAATTGGAGAAGTCACAGCTGATATTCTACACAAAGTACTCTATAGAAGAAATGTTAACGGACTCCCTACTTAAATGTTACCATAGTCCTAAACTAATTCTACAAAACTAATTAGCTCTGCTCAGACGCAATTATTTAAAATGAAGTAACAACTCACAATTTGAGGTGTAATCTCACACCTGTAATTATAAATTTGTTAATTCTCTTCATGACCCTAATCTGCTGCTTCTATTTCATTGTTTCCATAATTCTGAGGTTCAGGTTACAAGAAAGAGGTTCTCCTGGCCTTCCCATAACTTCTGTCTTTACAAATAAAACTATTTAAAGTCTTCACATCAGCTCTCTACCAAAAGAGAAGAAAAATTCTAATGCAAAGGGGGGCTGAGGCTTAATGGAATATATTTGCTGTACTTCCAAATGACAGGGATGATGGACATCTGATTGCAGGAATACATGGCAACAGCAAACAATTTACCAGTTTCTATTTAATCCTCAATCACACAGTTTCTTAGAAGACATCTCTACATCCAACCCCAACTATTCTGTGGCTATACCCAAACACTGGATGTAGGTATCTTTCCCTGCTGTGCTGGAAGAGTTATACTTTCCAAAACTTTGGAGAAGAGTCGAAACAAATTTATAGTTCAATCAATTTCTCAACTGATTCCTCTCTGTTTCTTCTGAAAGCTGGCAGAATGTAGCAACGGAAAAAAGGCTGCACTGGCCCTGTGCTATGGCAGAAACTAAGGAAGGGCAGAGACACACGAGGCTCCCCTTTTCACTCCATTTCTGAGAACTACTTTAAGTATAATTATGTAGAGTATATCAAGAGTGAGTTTTCATCCTTGCAGTCCCAACATGCACACTGAAGAGACCACACCACACAAATCTGCACAGAATGAAAAAATCAGTTCCCCCATGCTTTTACAAGGGACAGCTCAAAATAAGTGACCTTCTTTACTGAAAAAAAAATAAAGTAAGCCCTAATCCTAACAGGTTATCTTTCCACTATAACAGAAGTTATTTGTAGTTCTCTCTTTAGTAATTTTGACTTTTTAGAAAATTATCAGTATTCTCAGATTATTTGTGAAAATTTTTTACTGCACATTTCTTAAATAGATATAACCCTACACTTGCCGTCAGAATGTCCCAAAGTAGATAATCTTAAATTTATGGATGCCACCAAAAAAAATCAAAAGGATTTACAAAAGTTGATGTATTCTCCCCATCCATTCTTTTCCATCACTTTCATTTTTGTTTCTCACTATTGCTTTTTTCTTCACAACTAGCCTCAAGTAATTTATTCTCTTTTGTTTTTACAATTTTTTTATAACCTTTAGACTTCATTTCATCTTATTTCCCAAAGGCACAGTTAAAATTGTATTACCTGAAAAACTGAAATCTTTAATCCTTACTCTTACTGTGTCTTTCACAATTTGTTCTTGAATTGTTAGGAGGTAAAAGGGGAAAAACAAAAGAACGACCAACTTTAGCAAACACTAGAGTTTGTGATTTGTAACAGAAAACATTAAAATTTTTGATTTCCTGTAAATATACAGCTTTCTACCAAAATATGGAGTGAGAGCAGCCCTGAGAAGAAGGATTTGGAGATACTGGAGAATAAGAAGCACAATATGACCCGGCAATGTGTGTTTGTAGCCCAGAAGCCAACCACGTCCTGGGGTACATCCCAGGCAGTGTGGGCAGCAGGTCGAGGGAGGGCATTCTGCCCCTCTACTCCACTCTCACAAGAGACCCGGAGAGCTGCATCCAGCTCTGGGGCCCCCCCCACAGGAAGGATGTGACCCTGATGAAGCAAGTCCAGAGGAGGTCACCGAGATGATCCCAGGGCTGGAGCACCACTGCCTGGAGACAGGTGGGGAGAGCTGGGGCTGTTCAGACTGGAGAGGAGAAGACTCTGTGGGGACCTTTGAGCACCCTCCCATGCCTAAAGGAGCCCCAAGAGAGCTGGAAAGGGACTTGGGGCAAGGGCATGTGGTGATAGGACAAGGAGGAATGGCTTCCAACTAGATATTAGGAAGAAATTCTTCCCTGGGAGGGTGGGGAGGCCCTGGCACAGGTTGCCCAGAGAAGTTGTGGTTGCCCCATCCCTGGAAGTGTCCAAGGCCAGGTTGGACGGGGCTTGGAGCAACCTGGGCTAGTGGAAGGTGTCCCTGCCTGTGGCAGGGGGTGGACCTACATGACCTTTAGGGTCCCTTCTAATCCATTCTATACTATGATTCTATGAAGCTGTATATAAAAGCAAAAAACAGATTGCAGAAGCTACAGTGTGACAGTACTACTCTAAAGAAGTAAAAGATGGCACAATTTCTTATGCAAGAGGAGAAAAATTTAATAACCGGAGAACTTCAAATTTCATTACAATGATAATGTTCATCTCTGGTCTCTGTGT